CACAACTCGGACAATCCAGGTGAGGTTTGAGGGGTCGGAGTGAAAACAAGCATGCTCCCCGGTACCCATTATCCAAACCGGTTATATGGTTTAGGGTTCAGGGTAGGTTTCCCATCTTTTACCCCAAGCCTAAGATTCTCAACCGCCTCTCTTTTCCCCGGCGGCTGGGCATCGAGTCCGATCTATCGACAACTCTGCCGTCGAAAAACAGCAGATCTGGGCATAAGCTAGGGGCCTGAAGGGTTAGATAGTGTTTCGAGCTTCGGGGTATATGTTTGGGCGGAAGGCACTTGCCCATGCCACTTCTTGGCATGGCCAAGTGCCTCCTGCCCAAACAACAATTAGATACCTCTTGATATGTTGGGGGCTTGTGGTCTCCCTAGTTAAAATCGAACTCGCCCCCGAACCTTTATACTACAAGCTCAAACATGAACTCATTGTTTGAATGAACTCAAAAATACGAACCGCTTCTACTAAATATCCACATAGCAGAAGCCCCATCTAACCCCCCCCCCCCCCCCCCCCNNCCCCCCCCCCCCCCCCAAGCCCTCACTACTGCCGCTTGCTGAAGGGAAGGCCAACGCGCCAGTCTGGCTCAGCGTGTTCCTTTGCTTTCTTCGCCACGTTGGCGGGTCCCCCGTCCATGGAAACGACTGCCTCAGGAAAAGCTTCGAAAGGCTTATCTTCCAGGGTAATTTTAAGGGTTGTTCCTATAAGTCAACAAGCATATAGAGTGTTGAGGGCATAGTAGAGCCCCAAGGGGCCCAAGAAGCCGAACGATGGATTCCAAAACTGGTTACTATGAGGGCTTTTAGGGAGGCTCGGGGTAGGTCCCTGCGAAGTTAGAGCAAGGCTTAGGGTGTAATACGCCATCTACTGCGAGAAAAGAACGGCTGCATCAGCAACGGCTGAGGCCACTACGATGCTAGTCTTTGGCTTGGTGTTGAGACAAGTTGAGACCGCTGCAATTTGGGATCTGTTGGAGGCTTGTCTGAAGCTACCTGGGCATGGAAAATGGAAATTCAAAACGGGGACACTCCTTGCTAGCTATTGAATTGTGTCGGGGTTGGAGCTGCCCCTACGGATTCGGTTGAGTTTTTGGCAGACCTGGCAACATTGGACCCTTGACCCCACATATAAGTTTGCAGGTTTGGGGTTTAAGGTCCAGGGCGATGAGTTTCTGATAGTTTCTGGGTTTAGGAGTAGGAGTTCAGGTTTTGCAGCTCGGATCCTCGTCGTAGTAGCTGCAGCCGTCGGTGCAAAAGCTATCGGCGAGCTGCTCCTTGGTGCATGGCGCCTCGGCACCCTCCTGGAAGAGAGCGATGCGGAAGTCAAGGGATACCTGCTCAGGCTTTCGAATCTTCGGGGTTTAGGGTGTCAGGTTTAATGGTTGAGTGCAGAGGGTTTAATGCTTCCAAAGTATCACCGGGTTTCGATCAAATTTCAGATGCTTCCGAGGCTTATAATCAACGTTAACATCCCACCCGGCAGCTGTCACTCCTCTGATGCACGAGACCCGTAAGCAAGAGAAATCAAGAACCAAGCGCACCACAAAAACAAAGACACGGCAAGAAGCAAACCACACCGAACAGAGTTCGGTGCGTCATGCCTTAAACATGCCAGGCTTCAATTCTGAAACACATGAGAACCCAACTGACATGCTCTTGAAGCCTTTAAGCCTGAAAGCCCAGACACGCGTGTGGCGTCCGTGGTGTTCTCCAGGGTGAAGTGTATACAGCGTGCGCCATCGAACATGAAGCCATGCCCCGGATGTTTCGCCTGGAGGATTTCACGTTTTTGAGCTTGTCCCCTGCTTTGAGGCTTAAGGGCCCAGTAGGCTGAGAGATGGTTGCAGTGATGGTTCTGTGAGGAAGGCTTCTAGGGTGGTGGGGGGACTACGTCACCCCGTGCGTTTCGAGCATGGAGAAGTTCTTAAACCCCCAGCACCCAAGCCTCGACGGACCGATTCTATCGGTCATAAAAAAGCCTGTGCTTCATTCTCTCGTTTTCTACCGACCACCAAGAACTTGTGATACGACACGAGAAAGAACCGGAAAAAATGCAGAAAACCTCGACACGTACGAGGCCGAACTACAAACGCCAGAACCTGGACTAGCTTTCTTTGAGACAGGTTGGCCAAAATCGAAAGTCCTCCGACAAGCTAGGAGATCTCTGCAAAAAGGGGGCTCTAATATCGACCATAGGAATTGGGGTCCTTGATTGTTATAGGGACACCGATATATAAGGTATCCCTCATCCGGTTTAAGAGCCCCCACAACAAGAACGACGTCTGAGAACAAGCTGCTGTCAAAGGATGCCAATCTTCGGCCCCTGGGCGCGACTCCACAAACAGAGCATTGGCACCTTGGGGCTTTCATCCTAGGGCTCCTCACTCAAAACCAACGAATCTTAGTTGACAAGCTTGAATTAGCCAGGGTCTGGGGTGGATAAATGATCACCTCATCCAGCACCCTGCGCACCTAGGACCGGTGTGAGGGGAACGTGGAAGTTCAGATTGCCAATGCTGTGGCCGTAGGCGGTGTCGCAGTGAGGCCCGATGGAGAACTCGCCGGGTCGAACCACACGGAGGCAAGGAAATGCTTGGTACCGATAGATTGCGTCAGAGGTTGTGTTGAAGATCTTCATCTTCAATGCCAGAGAATGGAGCATCGGAATGCAAAAAGAAGTCACAAAAACGTCGTACAACTCGTGGAATCGCTGTCGCTTGCTGCGATCCAGCAGCGGGCTCAGAAGCTCCTGCTTGCTTCTGCATTGATACTTGTGCACGTCTGCAAGGGATCCAACTCCCAAAGCTTCAGCAAGCACCGAATGCAAAGGGTAGGTGCACGGATCGAAAGTAAATGGGCGCTCATCGCGCAAGGCCACATAAGGCGCAGGCACCGGGGTGACCAGCTTGCCTGCCTTACTCGCCTCTTCTCTCCTCCTTAGTGGCTGAGCTACCTGATGTCTGACGACAGGCTCGAAGCCCCTACCCAACAGCTCGAAACCCCCAACTCCTGGAGCCCTGCTTCCGCCTGATCATGTCTGGGATGCCGCAATAAGCAATAACGTAGCCAAACAAAGATTACGACTGAGGGTCTGCTCTGCGAAAAACACCAGCATATTAAAACACGCACACACACACACAACAAAAAAAAAAGCACACAACTCTCAAACTGCAACTCCTACTCCTAAGGCGCAGGTAGAAAACCAACACCGCAAACCGCTTGAAGCTTTAAAACCTACAAGGCCTCTAAGCCTCCACATAAGTATAAGCCACACACCAGTACAAGTTTCTCCCGAGCTTTGGCGAGGTGTGGTTCCATCACCAGCCGGAGATCCTCTCGATTTCATGGGCCACAAAGGGTCTCGTTTGGGGTTCAGAGTCAAGAGGAAAGAAAGTTAGCAAAAAAGGGCCTTTAGCAACTAGACTCAGGTTTGAGGGGTGTTCTGCGTTCTTATAGAACAGTTGTGTAGGATTTGGGATGCTGTTCCATACCGGGGTCTCCGTCTTCCGGGCTCAGGCTGTGGGCTTCAATTCCTTGGGCCCACAGTACATGAACTTTGTCCTATGAATCATACTACGAAACACCTTTCTACAGCCCAAGGACTGGGAATTTCGAGTTACAGTAGCAGTAGGGATTTTGGGGCTCCAAGACCCGTCTTTGAACCTAAACCCTAAACCCTAAACCCTTTAAGCCCTAAACCCTGTGTCTAAAGGCTCTAAGCGCGGAAGTCCTCGTCAAACTGAGGCGCCCCCGGGCTATCGCCAACAACGCCGCGCACATCTTTTCCAAACCACTTGCTGGGAGCGACATCCCCCATGGCTTTAAAAAACACTTGATGGTTTAGGGTTTAGGGCTGGGCTTCGCAGGTTCGTGGTGAGGGTTTTTAGACTGTATAGGGTTGCTGACTACTTGAGAAGGTGAGATTGAGGTGAGGGGATTGGGGTGTCCAGGGCTTCAAGTCAAGTTGCTAGCATTTGCTAGCGAACGAGCTTGAGCACTATTTCAGCAGATGTTCAGATGCAAAGTTCGGACGTTTCTGCCGTGACTTCCCTGCAAGACACGGTCGTGGGGCCGGTTGAGGACAGCTGACGACTCAGGATGAGTCCTTCGAAGGACCAGGCGATATGGGACTTTCCGAAAATAGGGGCTACCTTATTTGGGGGTCCTTATATTAAGGATCCTATTATTTAGGGTACTATATTAGGGTCCCTTGTTTTGGGAAATTCCCATATCGGCTCAAGGCTTACATTTTAAGAAAGCTGGTCGTAATTGAGCTGCACTCATAGAGGGCATGTAGTATGTTGGCGAGTAGGTGTTTTGGATCTATAGGGTAGCCACGGCCCACTTTAGCTTCATTTAGTGTTCTCGATTGAATGAGAAGGCATCTTCTCGGGTTTTGTGTATGGGTTCTAGGTTCTATAGGCTTGTTGAGGGCGTGCCAGAGGGCGTTTATGGTCTGGGGTTTAGGGATCAAGATTCCGGTTTGCCAGGCGGCTACAGCCGAAACCAGCATCTTCTCTACAACAAGAATCCCGGGAAGCTTCAGGCAAATTCCTTCTTAGCGAGAATATCAATATTAAACCTTACGGGCCATCCTTCTTCTTATCCTTCTTCCTATCCTCTTTATACTTAAAACACTGTCTGCACGCCTTGCCTGTAGATATAAATCACTTGGATTACGCGTAGTTTGAGTATCATGATCGCTTCTTCGTTTCAGGGCTTACGGCCTTATAAAGGTCCTCTCAGGATCTTTCAACCCCACGCCCTACAATGTGAGGTCCCTAGGCTCTGCCGCGGCATCTCCTCCGTCACCAGCGCTGGGCCTGTGAATTGCCTCTGGCTCCTCGGTGCTTACGGGTAATCGTTGACTTTAGAGGCTAAGTACCCTAGCCCAAAAAAGGTTAATCTTTTGAACTATAGTAGGAATATAAGAGCCCCAAAAGATTAACGGTTACCTAGTCAGCCCCTGAGTTAAGGTTTTTCGGTTTAGGGTTTGCAGTTTCGACTTGCCAACTCGCATGGGGCAGGCGCGAATTCCAGGTGACAAGTCCGAAACTAGGCTGCTCAGCCACGTGAGAAAGGCCGGGTTTAGGGTCGGCAGTTTTGCCCGCCAGGTGGAAACCCACAACCTTCCTTTGTCGATATGAGATCGGGTGTTGAGTTTGCGTAGCGCTTAGGGTGGTTTTCTTTGTCAGGCATCATGAGCTGAACATCCTAAAGCCTGGACATCTGAACCCCCCCCCCGTCTGAGACCTGAAGCCGTGGAACCGATATAAATCCAACAACCGACAAGCATCAGATCCGACACCGTCATCCAGACAAACCCGCCAACTCCCAATGCTGGACCCTTTTCATCGTACGCCAGAAGTCACCAAGCCTGACGCGCTTGTACCCTTTTCTTCCTGATTCCTCCCTGGTCACGCAAAGCCTGAACCATGAGCCACAGATCACCCAAAATCGGAACTCATTGGACCCTTCCTGGCAAGATGGCTGAGTCCCTACAAACTGACAGCCTCTGTTTCGGATTTCTTGGGCTCCCCGACCAGAAAGCCCTAAATACGAGGGCCTCAATGTGTCGTTTCTTTCGGATTAACTAGAAGCAAAGCAATACGAACGACAAGTCAGGCCGGTATTTTACGCTCTATGCTCTGATACATCTCAACTGGAAAAGATCCTAAATCCCTGACGCCCTTCAGGTTAAACCTTTCTGCGTCGTGCTCTTTGCTGGTAGGGTGTGATTGTGTAATTATAGGGCTCCTGATAGCTATAGGGCTTAACCATGAAGCCCCTTTCGGCAATACCTGCATGCTACCTGGCCACTCCAAAACCATCAGCAGCCGCGCGTGCTGCCCGAAATGCTGTCGCAGCTGCTGCATGAGCTCGGGGATCTGAAGCACTTCCTTCGCATTGGTGTTAGGGTGTGGGTTCCCTCTCTGGTAAGCGTAGCATATATAGACTTTGATTTGGATATAAGACTGAAGGCCTATAAGCTTGAGATATTTAGGGCTCAAGACGAACCCGAGGCAAAACCGGATCCCTTTCAACCCGGAGTTGCGACTTCCTTAAACCCCTCGCCGGAGATCCTGTGAGCTTTGGGTTTTGGCAGCAGAGGTTTAGGGTTTAGGGTTTAGGGTTTAGGGTTAAACCCGGAGTAGAATATAAGGCAGAGCCATGGTTTAGAGTTTAGGGGTTTAGGGGTGTAGTGGTTTAGGGTTTCGGCTCTCAGACTCGGATGTTTAAGGTTTAGGGGTGTAGGGTTTAGGACTTGAGTTGTTTAAGCCCAGGAGTTTTCGGAGGCTGTCTGGTATATCCACGGTACATCGCCGACGCTGCCACAAATGGTTCTCATAAAGGTCCGTGTACTTCTCCGCAAAAACTCCACATGACCCAAACTCTTAACCCTAAAGCCCGCATCCCACTGAGCCCTGAACAAGACTATGTCACTAAACCGATCACAGTGTCCAGGGCATGAGGTGGGGCCAAAAGTCAGAGATTCTTTAGAAAGGATCCTACACTGCTTGGGGTCTACCTTGAATTCTCTGAAGCTCTCACCCTAAACCCTAAACCCTAAACCCTCACTTTACGGTGGCTTTCTAAGGGCAGACAATGCCCTCCATGGCACGCTTCAGCCCTCGTGGGCTTAGCATGAAAGGAGAGCTCTTAGTTTGCCGGGCCTGGGTCACAGGACGTCCGGCTGCGCAGTCAGGATGAAACCAGAAACTCCTGAAATCCGGAGACCCGGAACTCAAAGTTCCAAGCCCTTTATCAAAAAATGACAGGCCGAATTTCGTGTTCCGAACATCCCCCCACCTCGTTCGAAACGATGGAGCGCACAAAAAGTACCGGCCGAACCTCCCAAGGAAGCTTCCCGTTTGGAGAAGTCCAGGGTTTCGAGGATTCGGATTACATGTGCAAAACATCGTGCTTCTGGGATTCCGCTGTCAGGCTTTCTTGGATTCTGGGCTGTGGGCCCGGGTAGCGCCTCCGAATCGATATCCCAGAGCCGAGCTATGCGGCGGTTGTAGCGCTCGTGCCTTGTTGCGGCATCTTCGGGCTTTCGGTTGGTGTCAAGAATTCGGTATTATGCCGGTTTTGGGGGTTGAGCATTTTGGGGAGATTAGGCTGAATAGCCTTGTTTTAGGGTTCAGGGATTGAGATGGGCTGGGTGTGTTTTTTCTTGCTCCAGGGTTTGCTGGCTCCCGAAGGGCAAGCTCCTCAAGCAGGGTTCAGGACTGCAGCTTCTGCGCTCCAGCCTTTAAGAAGCATCGCCCCTAGCAGCTATCGCATGATCATTTCCCGATATGTCTTGGAACCGCCAGGCATATACTCTATCAGATTCATGCAGTGAGAGGTGGGCTTTCGGGTTCCGGCTAAAGCGTCGAAACAGGGTCGTACAGCTTGAACAGGGTGCGGATGCCCAAAGGGGCCGACAACCCCGTACACACCCTGAATTTAGCAACATACCCCTTAATTGTAAAGCAGTGCTCTGCAGGTTCCTTCCACTCACCTCATTTGTTGGGGCTTCCGGGTATGTCCCGAGAACCCTCTCGCCTCTGCGACCCGACCAAGCATCAGACGGTTTAGGGTTTACCTATAGTCTCCATTGTAGTCCCCTCGTTTGGTTTAACCAATTATACATTAAGGATTCTATATGGTATCCCCAAAAAGGAACTAAAAAGGAGACTATAGGTAAGGTTTAAGAACTATGGAAATTCACGGAAAAGGTTCGAAGCGGTATGTATCTGGACCAACGGGTAGTGCTCACCAAAAGGAGCGATTTTAGGCCACACTGTAGGCCTGCTGAAGTAAGGGCTCGGAACGCTGAGGTCAGACAGTTTTGATAAGGTCTTAGCCTTAGCTGGTTGAGATTCTCTCTGACTCGGAATCAAACGCATGTGAACCACTGGAGCAATGGCCGTCACTAGCCACTAGCATGCTGGAAGGGCCCACTCCGCACTACAGCCCTTGCAATTACAAAGATGTTTGCCGCGGGGAGTGTCGAGCTTCTCCCTTGACAACAGAATGTGCTGCACATGCCCCAGGCAGGAAGCTATAGGGGGATAGCTCACAACAAAGCCCTGGCTAGCACCGGCCAAGGCCTGAGGCAAAACCCTCAACCGTCAACCACGCACTGCAAGGCCCTCTCTCATCCGGAGCCGAGGCACATCATCGGCTCGGTCGGGTCGTCGTGCCAGAAGGAGTGGTAGTAGCCACGAAACATCACCTCAGCACTCGTGGGCTGTGGTTTCATGCTTTCGTATTGAGGCCTACACTTGGCTGCCGGGGCCACTTTTCTGTGGGCCTCCTCCAAACCTATATGCGGTTGATATCAGGGGCCCGCACAAGCGCCATAGAATACTGAGGGGGCTTCCGATGCCAATCAACATCGAACGCTTCAGGTTCTGGGCTCACTTAAAGGATCATGGGACTTGGTAAGTAGGGTTACAACTCAGATAACTATAGTTATAACCCCAATTAAGGGACTTATAACCTTACTTACTAAGTCCCATGATCCTCTCAGGAGGACTTCAGTTCAGGGTGCAAGGCTCAGATCTCCAGAGCTCCCAAGGGTCTGCTGCATTGGGACGCGAGCAGCCAAGTGGCCATGTGACCTGTGTCCGGCACCCTCATCTGCGTGACGAACTCGTAGAAGCCCTCGAAGTTGCTTCCTCAGTCTTGTCCGAATCTTGGCTGCGGGATTCAGACTCCAAACAACATGTATGGGGCACGACCTTGTGAGCAAGCCGGCTGCGAAGGTTAGCCTAAACCCTAAACCCTAACCCTAAACCCTAAACCCTAAACCCTAAGCCTAAACCCTAAACCCTCAACCCTAAACCCTGGCGTTTAGGTATAGAGATCATGGCGGAACTTCGTAGCTCTCGGGTTGACAGCCAACGACCGGCCAAGGACAGCTCCCATAGAGTTGCCGGCGTGTGTGACAGGCTTTCTGGTGCTTAGTAGGGAATGGGGTATGGGTTATAGGGACTACTATAAGGGGCCTTAAGGGACTATCATAGGGATCCGTTCTCCCATTCCCTACTAAGCACCAGACAGCAGAGTACCATCTGAAAGTTTTGGCTGGGGATTTGGGGGGTCAGGGGTGGGTTCTGAGACCTGAGCTCGGACAATCCAGGCTAGGCGAGGCTGAGGGTTCGGGATTTTTTTCCCTCCTACTTAGCCAGGACAAGCCCGCATTGCAGGGTTTAGGGTTTAGGGTTTAGGGTTTAGGGTCTGAGGGTTCGGGATTCGAGTTTCGGGTGTCGGGTAATTTGCCTTCGGCGCTTAGGGACAGAAGCTTCCAACTTGCACTCGGAATTGGAGGCACTATTTCGTATGAGCTTCACGAGGTATGCACGGGAGTTTGGGGTCAGTTTGAGGGCACTCGGGTTTAGATGACTTTAGGGTTTTGAAAAGAAGACTGAAGAGACTCAAGAGCCTCGACGGCTTTTCAGGGTTTTTTCCCTCTCGCATGGCTTTTTAGGGTTTAGGGTTTATAGGGTTTAGGGCTCCCGGTCATGTTGTTGGCCTGGGAATGATCGTCTGACGAAAGCAATCGAAAAGACACAAGCTAGTCCTACGCGAGGCACACATGCTCTTCTTCGACTCAGATTCCCTGAACACCACACAACCTAGCTGCGTTGGGGTGTCTTCTGAACAACGAAATAACCTAGCTGCTTTGGGGTGTCTTCTGAACAATCAAATTATGGGATTTGCCATGACTAGGGGCCCAACCAATCACTCGGACTAGCCAGGTGAGGTTGGCACGACAGGGTGTAGGGTTTTGAGGTTTGGAGTTGTGATGGTCCGTTTGCTTGGCACGTTGGGAACAAATCTAAACTTCCAGTGTGCGTGGCTCCTGGGCCCAAAACGGTGCATCAGCCGATCAGCCCTACACCCTGAACCCCAGCTGTCCGGCTGATGCGCAGTTTGGAAACCGACTTTGCGAAACTTCGACACGACAGACAAGTTCGTTACATGGCCAACCCGTCAAGATGCGCAGTAATCGAAGAATTCCACTCATCCGGGTGCGGATCCAGTCCTCAGCGCTCACAGGAACTCACTGCTTGCCACCAGCGAAACCCTCCCTGAAGCCCGGCGAAACCTCGATCTTAACAAAAGGCTCAGGCTTGGGGCTTTCCCGCACCCCCTGATCTCCTTGAAACCCCAACCCCAAACCTACAACCTCCAAGCCCTAAATGCCCTAACTTCTAAACTCTACACCCCTACACCCTAACCTCGAACCACTAAGCCCTAAATCGGGTGTGGATTTTAGTGCGCAGAGCTTAGGGCGTTTTAAGGCTCGAGCTCAGGATTTCGGCCTGAAGGCAAATGTGGGTTGAGGGATTGTCGCCACGAAGCTCCCGAAACCCTGAACCCCGAAATCCTATGCCATGAAGAAGTTCAGGAGTAAAAATGCAAAGCATAAGCTACCCAAGAAACGGCTCTTGCTCCCTAAACCCCGACCTCTTAAGGGGGTTCAGAACTCCTAAGGGGGTCCAAGCGCCACCCCTGTGAACTTGACCACCCGACAGAAAATGCCCAACTCCTGAGTACATACTTTAACCTGTCTCTTCTTTCTCAGCCCTACTTCTTTCTGGCTCGTGGTATCCAGACAGAATACAAAGTGCCACCCGCCTGGGACCACCAGGTGAACCTCTACACTTTGGCCCTAAAACCTAACCCGAAAACCCCAAACCCTCAACTTTCACCCTAAACCCCTTTTTGCATCCAGGACTCTCGCAACCAGCCGGGAAACTCCACCCTAAACCCCTTTTCATCCAGGCCTAAACCCCGAAACCCGTAAACCCCTAAAGCC